AAACTTTTACATATTTTAAAAACTATATGACTTTTCTCATCAAACTCAACTATATGGTCGTGTATATATTCTTTTTGGAATAAAATTTAATATAATACTAAATCTTAATTTTTACTTAAAATAAAAAATTACCACTAACGTTAGGTGAAAATAGACACATGTTGAAAATGACTGATAATTATGCGTAACTAGTTAATAGAACTAGTCGCGAACCTTGAATCTACTATTGTACACGTGTCATTACAATCCGACGTTTTTCATTGATTATTTTCATTTATTATTATTTAATAATAATTTATAGTAATTTATTATTTTTATTTATTTATTACTTTGAACAATTATGACTAGCGTATCGAAATTCAAAAGTGATTTATTAGTTATTTACTTGTATTGAGGACGTTTAAAGCCAAAAGGTTATCAATTCGTAACGGAATGTTATAAAATTCCGTCGTTAACGTTTAATTAAGTGTCATAATTATGAGGAAACAGCATCGTGTGAGGGTCTAGTGTTGTAAATAGTGCTGTAGTAATCACTCTAGCAGCTCAAGTTTTGAAAATTAAGATTCTGTAAATTTATGTATGCTGTCTTAGCCTCAGCAGCGCCCCTTACCTACCTAGCACCCGGTTGCAACCTCTACCTTGGCGCGTCTAAGCTGGTATGGGATTAAACTTGACTACTGGGAGGATTTAAACAGTATCTTCTTTAAAAATATCTCTGTTCCATTTCGATGTCAATTTCGTGTTTTATACTAATCAATGATAAATTGGTTGATTTACTAAGTTATTGTGTTTTTTTTTAATTATTGAAAAAACCACACATAAAAATAATCACATTAAATCGTAAAATAAGTAAATCACACTAAAAGTAATAAATACTGAATGAAAGGGTTGACGTCTTTGTGTTGAGCTGGCAACCGGGCACAAACTTTAATCAAAATCATGGTACTTTTAACCCACTGATATAAAATTTATAGTTTCAGGGCGAAAATCATTTGTATTTTTGAGTTTTTTGATTATGTCTGAGAAGAGCAGTGAGCTATGAGAGGTCTAAAGTCGCTCGAAACCGATCGTGTAACTTGAGCACTGACAGCAAAAGCCCTGCAACAAATAAGTTACTTTATCCGTTTCTAATTATTTACGTTTTGGAAGAAGGAAATAATTATATTTTTTTGGAAATAGAATTTCGTCAAATTCAAAAATAGTAAACATTAAGACTAAAGTAGATTTCTGTACAAGATTTATCTAAACTCTCATAGTTAAACAATCCTTTTCAGGGTCGTGCTGGAATAAATTAATTAATAAATTAATTGGCATCAATCTCTTCAGAAACTTTTTGTGACAAATAACTTATCTTAATGGTGATTGAAATTTTCGGAATCAGCATAGTTATAGGCATGAATTCACGTCCTTAAATCACGATACATAATTAAACGGGGTATTTTCTTTGTTTTAATTTAATTAATGCTCTAACAAATCCTCTTTGAAGTGATTACTTACTTGGAGATTTTTCGACGGGTCAGAAATAGGTATGTATTTTGGAGACTACAGTTTTTTATACCATAGTTATCTTAAGCAATTTCCTTACTTAGAGGTATTTATAACAATCTACATATTAGGTTCACTGATTTGTGAGTAAATTTTCATTTTAAGTTATATTCCGGGTTGGTGGTTTCATGAATAAAATTATTGTTTCTTATACAGTCCATACAGCCCATACAGTTTCGTTGTAAAATATTACAAATACGTAGTTATTAAAGTATGTACCCAGGTAAAATAAACAAAACACAGAGAAAATAGATTATCTAACTATCAGCATTAAGGTAATATTTAAATAATTCCGATATAAATTGTCCCACGGCTTCTATAGCTTGTACTGGAGTTGGTTCCGGTGCTAATGATTGTTTAGGCCAATCTCGTTTCTCGTTAAACCATCTGACTATATCCGGATACACTTTCGTTTCATTAATTTCTCTTCTCTTGTTAATAAATTCACAAAACGTACAAAGTGGGTCACTGTCTGCACTTTCGCCAGGATCGTGAAAACTATAATATCTGCGCCATTTGAAGAAATCATAATATTTTTGCTTGTGTGTAATAACATCGTTAATTGTTGTTGCTAAAGCATCTGGTCCGAGGGCTAGAGCATTTAAGTACATACCAGGAGGCATGAATCTAAAAAAATACAACAGTATTATACTGAGCGCAAACATTTTATAAAAACAATTTTTTACAATACATACAATAAAAGTCCTATAAACTGTGTGGTCCCAGTAATGTTACCCTATATATTTTTTCATTAAGGTTTATTTTCAGGTGGGGCACTACAGTGAAGCTAGGTTCGAGGATTGTACAATCCCGACCGGAAACTAAACCTTAATAAAAAATAGGTTAACATTACTGGGTACCTAAAGTATTAGGTATTAAATATTATATTGAATTATTCTTTATCGCCCATTAAAAATTACGATGATAACACAAAACAGTAATGTAAGTATCACAGAATAAGCCAACGTACTACGAAATTGTTACTTAGCAAAGGCCGCTTGTTGGCCTTATTGCTAAGTAGCAATTTCTTCCAGGCAACTTTAGATTGAAACATTTAACTGTCCAAGATATTCTTAGAATCTCGTATCAAGTATCTTTTATCTCAGTGCTGCATCACAGATTACAAAAGATAGAATTTGGACAATTAATAACCATCGACAAAATAATATTTTCCTTGGCACTTACATAAATAAATAATTACGCACCTGCTGTAGTTTGCAGCCCCCAATACCACCGGCACTGCATAGTGTTCGACAGCTGTCAATAATTTTTCTGTTACGTAATCGACGCTGAATGAATTCTCAAAGGACAAATAGAAGTAATAATCTGTTTCTATTAACGCATAGCATTCCTCCATAAATCCTCTAGGACATTTCATATTTCCACAATCTCCAAACATATCGATCCTATGCCCAAATTTGTTCAGCGACGCGTTTAAACCGATGAAGAAAGCAAAGCGTTCACTAGGTGCGTTGCAATGCGATACAAACCATGCTCCAGCGATTTTTTTGTTTCGGAGTTTACTTTTAATATAATGACTGATCGGTTTCATGTCGTTTTCATCCATCCATTGCATATCGATTTTAGGTCCTATTATTTGGTTTTCTTTGTTCCTTACTACTATATATGGACAAACAAGATCGGAGTTTAGTTTGTATGTCCAGGTCAAATTGAAGAAGCCATCAAAGGTTGTTCCCTCTAATGGATAGTTTGAGGAAGATTCTAAACTACTAAAAACAAAGATTTGTTTTGGAGATCGTTTGTACGGTAGTAAATATACATCGCCTCTAGTGCCTACCGCATTATATAATAGTACATCGAAATCTGTTATATCATCGAAATAATTTGCGTCATTTGATATGAAACAGTTTTGATATGAACAATTTTTAGATGTAAAAGACGCTTTCTCTAATGCTATGTACACAAACGGTGCTTTTATGTCAGTTCCCATTAGTATGTAAATCAACCCGTTCTCCTTTTTCATTCCATTCACGGACAACGTTATAAACAATATAAGAGTTCTAACAATATAAGAGTATATCATTTCGTTTATTGCAACCATTTTGTAATTTATTCTATTTTAATTCGTACTATTAGCAGTAATTCGATTGCACATTTCACATAGACACAGTAACAAACGAATACAGTATTTATTAATAAATCTAGGGCTAACAGAAATCCTACTCGGTCAGTCTATTAAGTGTTATTGAATAAACTAATGAGATGGGGCGGAAGTAAAAATTTTTATGGTTCCAGTTAATAGAAAACAATGAGGATCAGATTTTCTTAAT